GCAGGCCAGGGATGGGGTAAAGAGGGGTGAGATATGGTTGTTTGTGATGGGTTTATACGTCCCACACATCTCAACAAATGGGATGTTTTATTCTTAGCTTTGGAGTGTAGTTGTAGGGCTTATTTGGTGGTTAAAATGGAGGGTGTGTATGCTGTTTGGGTAGGGAACAAAGGGGGTCCATGTGTTGGGGTTTATTATGGGGATGATATGTGTTGTTTTGGCTCTTGTGTTTCGGCCAGAATTGAAGGGAAAAGGATGAAATATTTGTGGGTCATTTTGGTGAGTTTAATGGGGTGTGTTTTTTTGATGAGAAAGGGTGGGGGTAAGGGGGTACGGCCTGGGCAGTAAAGAAAGAAAACAGGTTGTTTGGGTTTATTTTAGGGTGAGGAAAAATCCAATGAAATTATGGCTAAGGGTTTGGGTTTAGGAGGGGTAAATTCATTCCAAAAAGGATCGTAGGATTTAGTCATTAATCCGGTAATTTGTTTAAGGACTTTCGTAGGTACCGGGGGTATATCAGTTCTAAATGTAAAGGAATAAACAATTGATGGAATTTGGCAAATGAACCCAAACAGCAAGTGGTTCTAAATTTTCAAGTTTCTTTGAGCAGTTGCAAGGTATCAAGATGAGGATCTTTGGAATGAGAAAATGAAAGCTGCATATTCATGCTAATGTACATATACAAACATCTTGGAAACAGAAGAGAAAGGAATTAACTTTCTCATCCATCTATATGTGTGGAAGAAAGGAAAAACTATATCAGTTGTTAAATACAAGTGTATTTCATTTACTAAACCAGAATATGTACAGAATAAATTAGAGATGAAAGAAAAATAACCAAAACCATCCGAATTTCTCATTTATCGAGAAAAGAGAATATGATGTGCTCACTCTTTTGTTGCAGCCAACAGCAAAACCAATGGCAGTGCTTAGCAAGCCATCAATACCACTAGCTCCTCTATTGGAACCGACTTGTATATAGTTACATGACTCTGAGCTCAGTTTCATGGCCAATTTATGATATTTCTCTGGTGCATTCCATCCATACATATCAGCATCACGTATTGGCATGCTGTTTCCAAAGAAGATAGCAGATTCAGAGCAAATAGCTTCCAGAAGGGTGTGTGCAACATAAGGTTCAGTCAAAGAGTTCTCAGAATTGATTAGCAAGGATATCTCCCAGCCAGCCTAGACCAATGAAAGAGAAAGTCACCAAAAAAGTTGAAGACGAGACATCTAGATGATATAAATTGTAATACATTTTAATCCAATTCTAAAATAACTCGACAATTTACTGAATAGAAAATGGCTTCCTTATCAAAAACTAATGTGGCTGTCTCCATATAATGACAAAAATCTAGATAACTTTATTTCCACCATCTCCGATGGAGCCAAAAATTCACTATATTTTGGCTTAGGGATATGATGGAATAAAGAAAAATGGCTCTTTGAATTGTGTGTGCTTCTTTTAATAGTGAAGTAGCAGCTAGTCAATGTAACTTTCGACGCTCATCAATGGTCATCCTGAAACAGCCACTTTATGTATTAAACATAGGGCCATAGGGGTGAGTCTGCATTCGTGATTACCTATGGTGCTTGAGTCGGGGGTCTCTTTGGAAAAAGCCTCTCTGTTTTCGAGTAGGATAAGGTCAGCATACACACACTCTCCCTAGACCATAATTTTGTGGGATTCAACTGGGTTGTTGTTGTACTCATTTGGTGTTTGAGAATTTTTCAAACCAGATTTCAATGTTCGCCCATTAGGCAATGCATTGGTTTTTTTACTAGGACCAGAAGACAGCAAGAATTTTTATTATAATGTTCCACCAATACAACAAGGATGACGAGAACGACAATTATCCAGTATATTCTCAGGTTCCCAACTCCATCCGGGTCTGGGGTCACGATGCATGCAGTTTTATCCCTGTAAAGAGAGGTTGTTTCGGTTAGACCCTAGATGCATTGCTACATTTACTCCCCAAAACTTCATAGAAAATAAAAAGGCAAGGGAGGTTTAATGTGCCATTTTTTATTTAGTCCAGCATGTGCCTGAAATTAAAGCATTGCCAATAATGACTCTTTTAGCTCCAATGGACGGATATAATGTTCCAATAATACATTAGACATTTTTGATTGAACACATTACACTTTGTATAGGTCAAATGAACTCAAAACTGACCTGTAGCTCCAACGTAAGCAAACAAATTTTAAATATTAGAACCAATGACTTTGCAACATAAATTTTATGAATTGCATACCATTACACTCAATGTTTGCAAAAAGCATCTCCAACGGCTGCCAGTACATGGTACAAAAGCTTTCAGTAAATAGTTAGTGAAATGGATAATATTCTGAACTCTATGTGTTACAATATGCATAGGATCATGGCAACTAGGATGTTTGTCAACCATTATATATGAGCACGGAAAGCAACTCTCTAGCATTTCTGAGACGCGCTTGCTTGTAATACGGCTTCCTATCTGTTACAATGCAAAACACTAAATTATCTAGGTGACTATTTTTCATACGACATGCAGTGATGAAGACTGAATCAAAATGATGATGATGATGAAGAAATTTAATCAGAAGGATATTTCAAAGGAGTTGTGTGACAGGGTTATATATGATACTCCATAAATACAGGAAAACATATTTTCTTAAAGAACTTTCTTACAACGCTTCTCCACTAAAAAGGCCAAGGAATTCATATAATTTCTTTCCTTAGATGCTTCAGTTAATCTCAAACTAGAAATTTCTTCATATCAACATATCACTGATGTGAAATAAAGATGTTATCAAACAAATTACCTGAATGATCACATCAGCTTGCATCCATTCTTTGACTGAATCTGAGAGAAGTAAATGATCTAGAT